CATGATGTTCCAGATATCCTGTGTGTTCTTTTCCTGTGTTCTAATAAATGTCATATTCCATGATTAGTTGGTATTGATTCTTTAATCTATCTTTGAGTCCTCATCCTCCTTATCTTCCACTCAATTCATTCTATTTGTAGGGCTTTCCTTCGAGGTTTCTAGCTGAGTTATTGGATTTTTTCAATTCCATTGGGCTTTTTAATTTCAGTTTAGCTTGAGTCCACTTCAAATGTTTTCAGCTCTTGAATGAATTCCATTCTCATCTTTTTTTTTTTTTTTTGATCATTTCATTTTGTCAGCCTTGTGCTTCTGTTTTTTTCAACTTCAGTCACATGTTTTATTCCCCTTGTTTTTTCTCCTTAATTTCATTGAGCTGTTTCTTTATGTCTTATTTAAATTCTTTTAATTCTTTGATGAAGATTATGATTGTTGCTTTAAATTCTGTCCTGGAGGTCACCTAGGTAATTCTCATTGGCCAACATTTCTGTCACACTCACACTGATAGATTTTGGAGAGATGATACAGGTTCTTTCTTTCATGTTCCTGATACTTCTTTTGCAAAGAGGTCTGGGCATGTGGACTTTTTTGTTGGTTATTACCTAAGATGGACAGACCAGGTTGGGGAAGAAGGGAAGATATGTAGGCAGGTTGAGCCTAAAGGTTGAAATGGCTTCAGTGGATTGAAGTCAGGTGAACAGAAGAGAGTGGGTTGGTATACAAGACATGATTCCTGTTCCAAGCCAGGAGTGTGGGGATAGATCTGGTTGGGTGGAAGATTGGATACAGCATGGGAGTTTGATGTTCTGTGGTTTGAAGGATAGGTGGACAGGATCCTAGCCCAAGCTTAGAACTCCTTTGCTGTCCTGCAGAATGTCTGGCAGACCCTTCCATGAAGCAGGAACCCCACAGCACTGTCCATCTTGCTTCCTGTGGGTCCTGCATCTCTACTTTATAAAGCAACAAACAGCCTAGGCAAGTGCAATCATTCTTTAGCAGTTTCTTGTCCAAATGGCTAGTCCTGCTATATCAAAAGCAAACTCCATAGCAAGTCTCTTCGATGCCCATCTTCCTCTCAGACATGATTGGTTTTGCCAGGAGCAGTTGTGTCTCTTAGTCACAAAAAAGCCTAAACCATTTTAAATGCCATGTTCTGTAGATCTTTAAAAGGGTTGAAGAATGCTTATCCATTTGAAATATAGCTCTGTATATCTAGGAAACCTAACTAACTTAACCATAAGTTTTGACTGTTGTTCTTTTGATGCAGTTATTGCCTAAGAAACACAAACACGAGACTCAGCACCCACGTGGAGTTTATTGAGGGAAGGGAGAGAAAGGGGGGTAGCTGGTGGCCAACCGAAAGCAGGGGAGAGAGAGAGAAAGGGAAAGACAGAAAGAGCAGAGAGAGAGAGAAAGCCAGAGAAAAAGAGCAAGAGAGGGAAGGCCAGAGAGAGGGGGGCTTGGCGCACTTGCTTTAAAAGGGGGGCTTGCACATGCGTAACTGAGTCCTCTGGCAGCCAGGTAAAGCTTGAGCAGCCAGGTAAAGCCTGATTTAGGGATGACATGGCCATGAGCATCCCGCCCATCTTCGGGGGCGGGATCAGTAGTTACCATTATAGGTAACTATCTAAATCTGTACTAAATTATACATTACATTTTAAATTGAACTATATAAACACAATACCTAAACAAGAGGAGAAATAAACATATCACAAAATTGACCTTAAATTGTATCAATAAATGAAAATCCATTCCAAAACAAAGTGTTCATTTCTATACCGTAATCCCTTTTTTATCTTTAAAAAGAGATTGGTTGTGGTCATTAACCATTTATAACCAACTCCATTTAAATGAAAACAAACATTTATAAACAATATTTGGGAATTTGGGCATCGTTCTTTCTAAACTGCTTCCTGCTTGGTAGGGGGTGTTGTCATGGGGATCCTAAGAAGATGCAGAAATCCTGGCTGTAGTGGTCTGCAAGGCTGCCTTGTCCCAGTAGTTTTGAATGTTGGATCAACTGGGACACTGTTTCAGGGAGTCTTGCTTGATCAAACCATGTTAGTCTGGAAGGAATCCACAGCTTTTTATTTTCTGTGGAAATAAACATAGAAATTCTTTCCCCCAGTAACCTGTCCTTAGATTTAAATTTGGAAGTCAAAGCATTTTTAAAATATATAAATTGGATTAATCCAGCAACATTTCCTTTAATAGTTGTTGCTATTTCCTCAGCAGTCAAACAATACAAAGGCAACACAATAGCATCCAGTAGCCAGACTCTCTGTGTGCTTTCTTTCCATCTTCATGTGGCTTTTTATTACTTTATTTCTTCTACTTCTATGTTTTCATTTTTTGAGACAGGGTTTCTCTGTGTAATTTTTGCCTGTCCTGGAATTCACTCTGTGTACCAGGTTAGCTTTGAAATCACAGAGATCTGCTTACCTCTACCTCCCGAGTGCTGCAATTAAAGGCATGTGCCACCACACACAGCTACTCTCTTTGTATTTTTTTTAAACCACTTTATCCTGTTTCATTTTCTCTCCCAAGTCTAACTATATTTTAAAACATACTGTAAACCTTTAGGGGCTTTTATTTATCTGAATCTGTCTTTACTGTAAATATTTTTCTGGCCAGGAGTCTTTTATCTGGTAAACAACCACATTGCTGAAATGATTCTTGTGCCTTCTCTTAGGCCCTTTTTGTCTTGTGCAACTCCAAAGTGGTAGTTTTTGTTTTATTTTGTTAAATTTTGTTATTATCCCTTAGCTTATTTATTTTTCTAATGAGAGATAGAAAGGGAGTGGATCAGGATGGGATGGAAGATGGGGAGAAACTGGGAGGAGTAGAGGAAGGGGAAGCCATAATCAGGATATTTATATGAGAAAAAGTCTGTTTTCAACAAGAAGATATATATATATATATATATATATATATGCTTTATTATAAGAAATAATATAAAAAACACCACATGCCAAAATTATTCAGAACAGAAATTTGTGGATCTTAATGAACTTACCTTCTATATAGTATGACATTTCCCCTTCCCTTTCCTCCCTCCAAACCCCTTCTATGCCTACCCCACTTCTTCTAAAATTTATTGCCTCTTTTACTTTGTTACATATATCTGTATAGATTAACTATGTAGATACACAAATAAAACCTGCTGTGGGCTAACCATCTGGTACTGGGTAACTGCTTAGGGGACTCATCCATGAGGAAAACAAATTGCCCCTCCCTCAGCATCCTTCCCAGTTAACAAATCTACCGATGGTGTCTTTGGCTGAGTCTTGTTTAAGCAACCACGCTGTTGAAGTATCTTGACTAAAGTTTGTGTGCCATTGCTAGGAGACCCAATCTCGCAGCAGACTTCCTGGCCCTCTAGCCCTTGCAATATTTTTGCCTGTCTTTTTTGCAATGTTTGCCAAACGTTGGTTGTAGGATAGTGTTACAGATGGGTCTGTTGGGACTGGTCACCTCACAGTCAATTGCTCTCTGTAGTTTTACCAGTTGTGACTTTCTGTAATGGACTCCATATGTTGCAAAAAGAATGCTTTGATGAAGAGTGGGAATTGCAATTATCTGTGGATATAAGGATGCGTATTTAGAATTCAGGTAGGAATGATGCTGGGTTAGTAGAGTGTCAGTAGAAGGGTCCTCCTCTAAGACCCATTTACCTCACTAGCCTATGGTAGTTAGCTAGATTTCCAGTACCAGACATGATTTCCCTTTTGTTGAGTGGGCCTTATGTCCAATTAGTTATTGGTTACCACCAATATATGCGTGCCATCACTGCACCCTTAGGTATATTTTGCCATGCTGGTCATTGTTGTGGCTTATAGGCATTGCAGCTGAGTAGCTCTTAACAGCTTGCATAGCATGTTCTGGTACTGCTTGCTCAGCTGTGTTCATTGCTGTCTATTCACAATAGATAGGAAGTGTAACAACCCAAAAGCCCTTCAACTGGCAAATGGACAATGAAAATACATGACATATGCACTACACAATTCTAGTTGCTTGTAAAAAAAAAAAAGCAGGAAATTATAAAACTAGTGGGTAAATAGATGGAACTAGAAAATATTATTTCAAGTGAACACCCAGACCTAGAAAGGCAAATCCCACATGATCTCTCTTATCTGTGGCTCTTAGCTCTGAACCTTCAGGGGAGTGTATATAACCTGGAGTAACCATAGAAACCAGGAAAACAAAGATGATACAATGTGAGGACTAGAAGGATACAAAGGTTATAAGGGGGAAATGATAAAGGGAAACATTTTGGGGAGGAAGTCAGTACAATACAAGAGGGAATGATGAAAAAAAAAACACTAAGATGTTTGAAAGACCCAAATAGAATTAGATTATTTTTTGTTTATCTAAAATGACACATAAGCATATGTTTACACACACACACACACACACACACACACACACACACGAAGATATGCTACTTGGGCTGACACCCAAGTGTCATAGACTATCTAATAAAAACTCCACATTTGGAAGCCACATTCAAGTTGTTGGTCAGAGAAGTTCAAGAGGCACAAATATAAGACAGGCTATTGGTATTGCCCTTGGTTGCCTCCAAGAGATAAAAGTAAGTCCTATTGCCAAAGACACCATGCACTTCAACCACAGAATTCCAGAGGCAAGGGGAATCAGTTCTGAAAGCCTCCTCCCTGAAGATTTGGTGTCTTGGAAGGCATTCCGTGCTGGAGAATGAAGGCATGATCGAGTGAGTCCTGAAGACTCTTGCAGCCTCAAGTCTCTTCCCCACTGTGAACTGAAATAGATAGGTTCTTCTGCAAGTACAGAAATCCCTATGCAGTGTCCTCTAAGTACAAGGGAGGTTTTCTGGGCATGCTCTGAGGTTGTGTCCTTGCAGAATTCAAGGGAGCAGTACCAAGACCCCTACTGAGCAGAGACAATGAAGCTGACATTTACAGATAAGAAAGGTCACTGCCTTTCATACCTGCAGGCAAAGCCAGTCAGGAAATATATAAAGAAGCTCAGCTCAGCTCTCAGCCAAGGCCCTTCCTAGCAAGATGACTCCTACCAGCTTCTTCCTCCTTACATTGCTCCTGGTTCTGGTGACAGAACCAGCTTCGGGGAGATTCCGTGGTGAGTGGCAAGTTTGTTCTGTGCAAAAGGTATTTGAGGAAAATGTGTACAAAAGGCTATGTTCCCAGGGCTTCTGTCCCTGATGGAAACTGAGTCTTTTTTGAGTCTTACCCATAAGTGTTATGTGATTTATCAGTGACAGGGCAGGCAAAATGTCAGTAAGGAGGGCTGCAGGGGAATGTGGGACTTCAGGTAATGTAAACATCTTCATTGTCAGTTGTGAGGGGAGTTGAAGGGGCCCTTTGACAAGTAGATCATTCCAATTTCTAAGTGGACTAAAAGGTCACTGGCTTTGTAGACAGCCACAAGGGACATCTGAACGCAGGTCCATAACCAGAGCCGAAGCATGGGCTCTTGACAGTGTCCTGATGCCCAGCTAATCCGGAATGTGCAGAAAGATGGACAGAGAACCAGGCATATTTTCTCTCCACAGAAAAATTTTCACAAACATCTGAAGACCAGTCTAGTGAAACCTCTGAAATAATGGCAGCAGGGAGCAGCGGGGGATCAAGTTCCACCCACCATGAATACAGCAGGAGCGAGAGCTCATGGAACTCATTTAAACCAAAAAATCCCCAAGGCAGCATCACTGAGGAAGTCTATGAGGAAAGGAAGTATAAACACACTGGTGATAGCAGTGCTGGTGACAAGTCAAGTTTATCTGCAGGGGAACTAGAGCGGTCTTACACAGGGAGAAAGGAAAAGCAACGGTTTTCACAAGAAGTAGGTAAATGATGTGACTGTGGACCAACTGAGGACCTGGACCAATATGAAGGTAAGGTTATTGCTAGGGGAGGGGGACACCTACCCCAGAGTTCAGATATGCATGAGTACTTCCTGGGCGATTATGGGACTGGTTCCCCACTGTGCACTTTGGGAAACCGAGGGAAGCACCTGGCAGAGCAGAGAAAGATGCCTGAGCTGGGCCTGTGCCCTGAATTCCGTCCTTTAGTATGTTTTCTGTCTATTTCTTTTGTATAAGTCAAAGGGTAAACAAATTTGAATATGCACCTCATGGACAAGCGTATTTATCAGGTTGTCATACAAGCTTGTTAATTCTTAGCATTTGGTTTGACATGAGTTCATTTTGTGCTTGTCATGGAGCAAAGTGTTACAGTATTATACTCTTCCCATTTCTACACACCCTGTTAGGATGCATGTATCTCTCTCAAAAGACCATGGGTCCAAGAATTAGCTTCATTTCCCTCTCAATAAAATGAAGATATATATATGAGGAGTCCCTATTTGCGACATACTAGAGTTGAAAAGTATCAGGAAATGGCAGAAATAAGAACTGCAGAAACATGGGTGCCCCCTTTACTCTCTACCCCCACTGTCATACTTCACAGTTTGAACTATCCTCCTTTAGGAGTCGGCTTGTTTGGATGAAGCCTGTAATATCTTCAGGATGGAAACTCCAATAAAGTCCCAGAGACAGTTCATGGATTTCACTTACTTCTCATACTTGGTTTTTGAGATTCCTAAACCTAACACTCATTAAAATACTTTCTTTCCAATAAAAAGACAACATTCTGCATCATTAAGTTTTGACTCTTGAAATCTCTTGATTCTACCATATACGGGGCACATGGGATTCCTGGAATTAACAGTTCCATAGTTATCTTTGAGCTTCTGGACAAACTGGGAGCATTGGGGGAGAGAGGTAGAAGAAAGAGGAGAGAAGAGGAGGGGAGAGGAGAACACGAGGAATCAGGAAGATTGAGTCAGGGTATGAATAGAGGAGAGCAAGAGAAGAGATACCTTAGTAGAGGGAGCCGTTATAGATTTAAAGAGAAACCTGGCACTAGGGACATGTCCAGAGATCCACAAGGATGACCCCAACTATGAATCTAAGCAATAGTGGAGAGGCTACCGTATTTGTCCTTCTCCTAGAATGAGAATGATGACTACCTTATATGCCATCCTAGAGCTTTCATCCAGTAACTGATGGAAGCAGAAGCAGAGATTCACTGTTAAGCACTGAGCCGAACTCCTGGAATCCAGTTGTAGAGAGGGAGGAGTGATGAGCAAAGAGGTCAAGACCATGCTGAGGAAACACACAGAAACAGCTGACCTGAGCAAGTGGGAACTCATGGGCCCCACTCTGACAGCTGGGGAACCAGCATAGGACTGACCCAGACCCCCTAAATGTGGGTGTCAGCTAGGAGACCTGGGTAGTCTATGGGGCCTCTGGCAGTGGAACCAGTATTTATCCCTATTGCATGAATGGACTTGGGAACCCATTCCCCATAGAGGGATACTCTCTTAGCCTTGATACACTTGGGAGGGCCTAGGCCCTGCTCCAAATGAGTTGGTGACTTTGATGATTCCTCATGGAGGCCTCACTCTCCCTGGAGAGTGGATGGGGGAATGGGATGGGAGTTGGTGGGGGCCATAGAAAGATGGGAGGGAGAGGAAACTGAGATTGATGTGTAAAATAAGACTGTTTCTAATTTAAATTATATATATATATATATATATATATATATATATATATATAGAGAGAGAGAGAGAGAGAGAGAGAGAGAGAGAGAAAGAGAGAGAGAAAGACTTTTTGCAGATGAATTTGGGATCCAAATGCAACAATACTCCCAGGAGACCTGTTGACCTTCTTATTGAAAACCATGTTAGTAAGTTTTTGCCAACTTGACACAATCTAGAGCCATGATTCCCAACCTTCCTAATGTTGTGACCCTTTAATACAGATCTTCACATTATGGTAATCTCCCCCAACTGTAAAATTAGTTTTGCTGCTACTTCATAACTGTAATTTTGCTACTGTTATGAATTATGTTGTAAATCTCTGATATGTAGGATATCTGATATGCAACCCAAAGGGGTTGTAACCCACCAGTTGAGAACCAGGGAGCAGAGAATCTCCACTTAAGAATTGTCTCCATCCGACAGTCTGGAGGCATGTCTGTAGACATTTCCTTAATCATTAATTATCTTAAGAGTACCCAACCCACTGAGAACAGCAGTATCCCACAGCAGGCAGGCCTGTGCTCTATAAGAAAGCAAGCTGAGGAAGTGTTCTCAGGGGAAGCAATCCAGTAAGCAGCCTTCCTCCATGGTCTCTGCTTCAGTCCTGCCTCCAGGTTCCAGCCTTGAGTTTGTGCCTTGGCTTCCCTGCTGTAGCCAAATAAACCCCCTTCTCCCAAAGTTGAAAAACAAAACAAAACAAAACAAAAATCAGTTCTACAATTAAAGGAAGTGGCCTTCTTGTGTCATCATTGTGCAGAGTATTCATAAACACTTCCTAACCCTGCCTAGAGACCTATTATTCAATAGAAAGCACTGAAATTCTGCAAGTCACTGTATGGACCACATACCCTAAATCTCCTCTTGACTTCAAGCTAGGAAATGTCAGATGACACGTATTGCAATAGATCATGGCAAATTCCTGATTTACTGGTGCCTCCAGTACCATCAGTCCACAGAAGCACATCCTTCCACTTGGTTCAACTATGCTGATCATAGTATATATTCTTTGGGGTTCAATGTCCCTAAGTGTGATACATGAAGTATCTCCATCTTACACAAAGACAGTGTGCTGAACAATGCCTTCTATGGAGACACACGGCAGAGGATCAGTTGTAATTGTTAGAGAGGGTGTCTTCAAGTGACAAATCCTGATGCACATACACCTTTCTTTGAATATTTAATGAGGCTCCAGGGGATAAATAATTATTCAAAAGTAAAAACATCACAGCCAGATGGATGAGGAGTTTGGTTTCCACCTGTGCCACAGGAACACACTTATCTTCAAACAAATCTGTCTTTATTTTCTTTAAAATTAAATATCCAGGGTCTACATGGGTTTAATGTTAGTATGTTAATTTCAAACCTCATTACAGCATCATGGATGAAATAGAGAGAAGTCAGGACACTTCTGCGATCCCACAGACAAATATCACTGACAGGTTCTTAATCAAGGACATCTTTGATCTTTGTGGAGAGAGGAGAGTGATTCTGGGAGTAAGTGGCAACTGACCTGCCCGTGACATGGTAAGAACAGAGCCACTGTGCTGTGACTCTGGGATTGCAGCCATCTCTCTATTTACACATCCCTCATAGCTAGTGGTTAAGAGGGTTGGGCTATCACCTAGGTGCACCCAACAAACAAAACACTGAAAACAACACTCGTCCACAGTTTCCAGCAGAAGTTTGAGATGTATGGGGCAGGAGTACATATTTTCCTGCAATGTCTCCCATTGGAATGGACACTTGCCTTGCATCTGCTGCACAGTTGTGCTCTGGAAATGCATTACTTCTCTGGTGTCATGGTTGCTAAATGGAGGTTACTCTTCTACAGAACTGAAATATCTGGAGAATATATTGATTTAAAGTGGGTGGTAGTTTAAATTTCAAAGTGGGGAGGTTTGGGAGAGACTTTGGATAATTTTAGAATAGGCAAAACATGTTTTGCTTTAGGAATAATACATAAGTAGCTTCAGGAAGAAGGCAGGAAGTTATAAATTGAATTAAATGCCTTTAAAAATAGATACATTTATCCATGTAGCACACAGTGTGAGATTATGTAGGAAGAGGGTCCTTTTAAATATAGTCACTCCCACCCAAACCCCACCAAAACTCTTCAGTTTCCCAACATCTTCCTTTCAAATTTATTATTTCTCTTCCCTCTCCTTCTCCTCATCCTCTTCATAAACAACATCACTGTCCTGTTTCTTATCAATACACTGAGTCCCATTAGTGCCTTCTGTGTGTATGGGCATGTAGGACATCAGCCCCTGGAGAATGACCAACCTATTACATGCAACACTGCTGAAGAGAGCTGACTTTCCTTCCAACAACAGCCATCAACTGCCAATAGCTCCTCGGCTAATTGTGGAACTTCATGAGCCCCCTCCCCTCTCTTGCTGGAGAGAATTGATCTCATGCAGGTCTTCTGCTGGCGAACACAGCTATCGTGAGTCCATGAAGTCACTGGTCCTGTCATATCCAGAAGACATTATTTTGTAGCACTCTTCCAAGATCTCTAGTTCTTACAATCTTTCCACCCACTCTCCAGTGATGTTCCCTGAAGCTTAACAAGCAAGGAATGTGAGTGAGAGGAACATTTATGCCCCGGTTACTCACAATGAACTGTCTCCCTGTAATCTATTCCACACTAACACGTCCCCCTGCCTTCTAGGGCAAGCTTGTAGCCACCGTCTGCCTGTGTATCCTTTTGATGTGCACATGTTCTGTGCTCTTTCCCATCTGGGTCAGTTTGTCCTCTTTGACATGTTGTATACGTCTAGAGATTCTTAAGGTGTTTCTACTTCTGTACTTAGTGTTTGTTTGCAAGCCCACATACTAATTCAGACCTTTCTGTTAACAATTTGAAATTCACTGGTTATTTAATACTGGAATTGGAAATTCACATACACATTTACTTATGTGTTTGTGAATACTGAGTACCTAATTTTACCTGCTAGTTCTACTGGATGTTTACCCTGAGTGGGCTTAGCATGAAGGTCTGGGAAGAAGATGGATTTGGTAACCAGTTCCAGCCAAAAATCATGATCATGGCTCAAGTGGTTGCTCTACTGGTTTCTCTCCAGATGTCTTCTGGGACTGAGAGAATCCTGCTGCAGACAATAGACCAGGCCCTGTTTCATGCTGCCTTCAGATCCAGAAATGAAAAATAGAGAGGAAGTAAATATTTTTATCCTATTGCTACTGGATGCTGAGTATCAGCTGTACACATCAAGCCACTGAGAAACTCAAATGGCATTTATGTGAGCCTAATCCTGACACTTAGACTAAGTTCATAACTCTGCCCCAACTTCTGACTTCCTCATCAACATCACACAGTATGAGAAGTGAGTTATATATTGTTGAGATGCCATTTAAATCCCAGAAAACTCAACATCCTCTAGCCTTCTGGTGTTGCTGAAGCTTAGAAAGATCAGGGAACTTTGCCCCTTTCATGTCATGGAGAGCAGAACTATGGTCTGAAAGATGGTATAGTATTGTGATCTTCTGGAATCTAGAAGAGAATCAGAACACAAGGTACCTTGAATTAACAGGGAGGTGATGAACTTGATGGAGATGAAGGCACATGCTTCCCTTCCCAGGTACACGGTATCCAAATGAGCAAGACCAAGTCTAGATGAGATCCTAAGACCAGTGGACATCTAGTTCAAAGCCATGCATCCTAGGAGCCCTTGCAAAACTGTGCTATGCTTATCTCTTTAAAGTAATGCCTATCTCTTAAAGCTAAAATTTTTGCAAAGTGATTGTGGGAAATAGATATTGAGAGATAAGAGACAAGGCATGGGCTGGGATATAGAAACTAGATGGCAAATAATCTGATGGAGTAGGTCAGTGCAATTTAATGACAGAAGAATTCTGGACCCAGAAATATGAGAGTGTGGGAATTAATCAGGGGTGTCTCTGACCTGCAGGGTGACA